TATATATATATATATATATATATATATATATATATATATATATATATATATATATATATATATATATATATATAGTTACTTGTACATATTCTAAAAAAATGTAAATTATATATTTTAATTTTTTACAAGATGTATTTTGGCTATGTTGATATTTTGTTTATACCATATAAGATATATTTACATCATGCATCATGCAAAATCTCAAATGTAATACTTGGTAAACAAATATTGTCTTCGTCAATTTATGAGGATCATTCATAAATAAAGTGTATTTATACGATATAAAATCTCAGAAAAATATTGTTTTCATCATTTTAGGAGAATCGTTCAATTAATTTATTATATTTTGACAAATGTATTGCTATTTTCAACAAATTTAAGTTTTCCAAAAGTTTGTATATATTATCGATCGAGTAAAATTTCTAAATCAACATAAAAAAGATCAAATATCAATTTTATAATCGATGACACCTAATTCAATTGGCTTCAGGAACTAAAATCAAGTTATTTCTCTGTAAAAATAAGAAAATTTTGTGGATAGTAATGAGAGTCCTAATGATTCTTACAAAAACAAGTTTAGTGTTCCATCCAGCTTGTCTAATCTTGGGGACTGCTGAATAACCATGTTCTATAAATTCAATATTACATACCATTAAGGCATGAAACCATTGATTTAGATTAACTTACAAGAATATGATATGAATGCACTAATATTAATTTAGATTAAATATTTTGAACCATTGATTTAAATAAGTTATTACTCGGATAGAAACGAATTACGTATGGAAGGAATAAAAGGATATACTATAAAGCTTAATAAAATTAATGAATCAATTATGCTACAAAGATTTTTGAGTGAGACATATTCGATCACTTCTACTTCTATTATTCTTAACAAAAACACACATCTGAACTTTACAGAACATCGGAGCGCTACGATTCCATAGTGGCCAATTCTGCGTTCTGTCACCCGCTATTGGTCTCCATCTTGTGATTTGCTCTTCCATGTAGTTGACTGGGGACTTTTGTTTGCTTGCATGCAGATAGTAATAAATAACAATGATTCAGATATGGAATAAGATCATGCATTTGTTCTTTATCCTCCTATTTAGTGGCTACGGGTAGTCTAAGCACCAAATCCTGACTTTCCTAATTGTTTTTTCGGTTTGCATGAAAGCAAGGCTACTCTTTGGTACAGAAAGCATATGCTAAAACTATTTAGTGGCCTGTTGTGAGCCTGGAATCACTCTGTCCCTTCACTTTTTAGAGTACATTGATCGGAGAGCTCTTCGGTTTTCATATGTGGTATCCATCTTTACATTTTCTAAGTCTGATGTGGATCATGTCATTATAACTCGGAGGTGTATGAGAGAGATGATGTCGATCATCCTCTTAGGTGGCATTCAACATCGTGTTTTAGGTTAAGCCAGGATTGCACCTCTTGGAATGGTGTAACCCATAAGCAAAACGATCTAATGTAACCCTATTATCTTTTGTAGCTTACCCCAAGCAGCAACTCGAAGCACTGTAACCTTAGCCTTTACGGCTAAACCCACTTGCAATAAGCAAGACAATCGTCCTGATTGCCCAATCCTTTATCCAAGGTGGATTAATTTATGCACCATGTCACGGAACACCCCACCCCGAGTTGCTTCAGGAGCAAGGCTCTCATGATGAAGCAGCATTAGAAGAACAGCAAGCTTAGCCAACCAAACACGAGCCTGAAACGAGATCATTGGCCTGCTCTTTCACGAGCTAAGCCATGACACTAATAATAGCTCGTCGAGGCCATGAGCCTTGTGAAAGGAAAGCGCATGGTGATGGCAGGAGCAGGTGACACTCATCAACACCTCCTCCTTCCTCTTCCTTTGCTTTGCCCTCGGATACTCGAACCGCGTCGAGGTGTGCTCCCTTCCACAAACCTACTTTTTTTGTTTTCTTTATGTATGTCTCGTCTTCCATTTACACGCTTTGAGTGAATGGATTAGTTTGTTTATGGCTTAGTCACGTGTGAGTCTCTTCGATGAAGGGCATATATTTGTATAGTGTTTATTTAGCTGACCACATCATGTCCTTCCCCACCCCTATGGCTATGGCTATGGCACGATAGAGGGGGTTTAAGGGTGAGGATCTTCCGAGTCCCACATCAAAAATCACACCAAGGGTGAGATCAAAGTTTGGACTAAGATTGCTAGCGAGGATCCCTGTCTTTGGTTTCGATATACCTACCTAGCAAAGCCTTTAATGGGGTTAGGAATTACGGGGAAACGTGGATTGATGCGATTAGGGAGAGTGTTCCGA